TTTCAATTTTTATTACAAAAAGAAATTGATGAAATTGTGTTTTCTCACTCGTTTTCTTTCTCTCACAATTCTCAAAATATTGCCAAAAAAGTGAGCGATCTGAACTTTGCATAATAACTCCGACTTTCGTTATTTATCCGAACAATTATTTCTTTCAGTTTCACTTTGGATCTGCAATTAATGACGACGGTTAAATCTTTCCATTTCGAATCGTTCGTACGATTCTCATCCATTCCTATCACGCATATACGTTTCCTCGCAACGTAGAGTATATCGCATTGAAAACTCAAGATTTTTGCTATTTTTACTCTTTTTTTTTCAAATACCGTTCAATTACTTCCCCTCTGCGCACTTTGCGGCGGTTTATTGCGTGTGGGAATGTCGGCGCTATTTGGCTTAAAGAAATGAAATAATGTCGCTGCCAATCGATAAAGAATGAAAAGGAATCGACTGAGTTTTTTAGTTCCCTTTTTGGTGTTTTTCTCATTGCAAACTGTCCGCTCCCTAAAACGTATGACGATGTCTTTGGAGCGGAAAATTACGCTATAGTTTGATCTGACAAATGAACGTGAAATTTAGGTAAAATAGGGCGGTAAGGGATTATGGGCTGAGAGAAAGCTGACCGAGATTTCCTGGAGATGACACGGTGTAAGAGTGTATTCCTTCGAACAAGAAATGTGTTTGCCGGCGATCTCAAATTAATTTTTCAATTTTGTCCATTTCCTCTCTGCTCAAAAAGTATTTGTAATTAATTTGCAATTTTTTATGCTTTCGTTGTCTTTTAAACATCATTTTATTGCATATTTTCATATCATTTCCCAAATATTTTAAAGAGAAAATTACCATTTTGTTAATTAGTAATAAAAGCCATAATGGTTTCATGTAAATTGCGGCATTCTCTTTGAAAACTTCCTTACAATTTTAATAATTGCAAAAGCATTGATATCATTGTTAGATGGAATTTAAAATTGTTTGCCCATTGTTGTATGAAAGTTAGTTGTGAAATTAATCTAAGTTATAAACGCGTCTCAGTGATAATCGTTGACCTATTTTCCAAAGGAAAATTCAACAAATTAAAAAATCATCAAAGACGTGAATAATAATCCATCAGAAAGTCATGTTTTTTTTTTGGTTTTTGATTGATAATTATTAATTCGATTTCTTTATCTCATTTTTTCAAACAAAAAATTCCATAACAATTAATTTCTTCTCTTTCTTTGTAACAAATGCAACTGTTTAAAGATTATTGTTTTTTTTTTAACGATTTAATTATTTTACAGGATTTATATATCAGATCAGTTCTTACAATTTCGCTTCATACTTTTACACTATAGTCTTGTTTAATACTTCCAGTACTTAATTTTTATTTTCATTCGCTTCACATTACTTATTTTAATTACCCACTCTTTTCCTTTTATTAAACTGTTTCAATCCATTATTTTTGATTTTATTAACATATAACAAAAATTGATATAATTTAATGCGGAATACTGCGAATTCAATCGATTTGGCAATTTAATTACGTGAAGACTCAATTTTTCATTGCTTTCGTTGAGAATTAACGTCTCGGAAATTTTTATACTCCAAACTGTTACACGCTGGACCATTCCAAGAAATGGGTAGATCATTCCATTGTCGTTGTAGCTGATCGAAATAGGCCCGACTGATGAATTCATCTGGTGATATATTAATGGAATTCTGTTCACCGAATTTTATGCAGCATTCGAGGCCAAGTAGATGGAAAAACGAGCTTCGAATTGTTTTGCTTGTGTGATATAAGATAACGGCGAGGATAACTGATGCAATGGGCAAAAAGCAAGCCTAGAATAAAGTATGGTGGATGGGACAAGAACTAACAAACCTAGAATAGAGTACGTTAAATGTCCAGTTAATTCGTTTTTTTTTTTTGCTATGATTAAGATGAGTGGAATATTTGAACTGTTTTAGCAATTCGATTGTACCTGTAAATTATACCTGTATTTCAGCGTAGAAACAATATGTGATCAATTGGTTGACGATAATCCAGTAATTATCAGTTTGTCGTGAAGGTAACAGAACATATAGTAAGGCACCAATAAGGACAAATACTGATGTAATAGCAGCGAGTGGTACCAGAAGTTTTGAGGTTGAAATATTCTCACGTAATTGATATCGTACACTGACGTTTTCATTTTGAGATTTTCGATGAAGCTAAGAAGTAATATTTAATTAGCGAACTATTTGGAACATTTATTCTTTTTTTTTAAATTCTGAAAATTGTACTCATTCTTTATCAACTGGAATATCTGAAAGCACTGGCAAAGATATTGAGGCTGATTTTACTGAAATTTAACCTCAGCAAGAAGTTATGTTAGTCTCATTACTGTTGCTGTTTGTTCACCTATTCAGCATAAACATGAATGTAGTAATGAGATTAACATAGCCTTATGCTGGAGGTCAAATTTCAATAAAATTAGCTAAATCTCATCAAATTCCCAAAGTATCTCAATTTTTGATAAAAGCAGCTCAGTAATAGTTTCATGTTTTTTTATTTCATAAAAGAAAAAAGAAATATAAAGTGTCACCTTTTAATATCTAAGCAAAATGTATGCTTCAAAATTTGAATCCCTTTAAAAGAAATTTAAATTTAAAATAACTCACCAGTTTTTTATTGTTATGTGTCCACAGTACAATAATAATAACAAATGAGCAAATCTGAATAGCAATAACACTGAGCTGAATATTTCCCGTATCTTGTGGATTAAACAGTTCATAAGCGCAATAGGGAAAAATATGTTCTTCATTGTGATTCTGATAATACATCAAAGGTATGATCAGAACCCCTTAAAAGTAATATTAAATAAAAATGGGCCTTAATATCAGGAATAAAACAAAAATAATTGCCAAAACTTGGCAAGACTTAACGGTAGTTCATTTGTATAGTTGAAGAAAATTAATTTATTGTTTTTTCCTTTTTTTTAAAGTCACCTGTGACCTAAAATAATTCACTAACGGCTGTTCTTACCCGCCCATTAATTATAATGATAGTATAAATTATTTTGGAAAAAAAAATCAAATATCCATATCCTTTTTGTTTTTTCTTGAACAAAATTATAAATATGCGGAAAAAAGAAATGGAATTTAAGTAAAATTTTTCCATGAATATTGTGGAAATGAAAAATATGGAAGAATAAATAAGAATTAAAAAAAAAATAAAATAAAAGTTGTTAACTTATTTTATTCTTTTATGAAATGAAAACCGTATAAGTAGTGGTAAAGAAAGTGTAACTTATCTGTGATAACGCCATTGATATACTAATCCACCTACGTTTATTGCGCTCATACGTCTGATAAAGAAGCGTTGCAATTGCTCGTTCAACTGAGAGAAAAAGTGTTGATAATACAACCATTATTAAACCGAGATAATACACATTGCGTAATGCTACAAATATAATTCTTTTTTTTCATTCATTACTTGCTCAGCATTATTTATTTATTTAATTATTAAATGATTTATTATTCGGAGTAATCCATCTGGGATAAACTATTACACAGAAGAATCAGGTATTTTTTTTTATATCTTTTTCTCAATTAAATATGTTTCTAAATCGAATATAATCTTTAAGAATGTAACTAACACAAAATAATTTTGAACTATAAAAAGTTCAAACTACTTTATGTCAGTTAAACTTCAAAATATTTATGCAAATAAATTCATATTAAAATATTAAATTTACCAATGCAGTCTGATTTAGTAAATGATAACCAAGCACAACGTTCCACACCAACCTTTGATATAATCGCTATCAAATAGTAAGATGAGTCGATAAGTGTCCCTAAAATAGAATAATATAGATGTCAAATATCTGCTATTTTCAAATTTTATAAATTCGAAGAATTTTTTACCCAATAAAAAAGTTTAATCGATTAATTAAATTATAAAAAATGGTTGCCGAAATTTTTTTTTCAATAACTCATTTCATTTTATCTACATTCAAAATTGGCGAAAATTCCATCAATTTCTTTTTTTTACAAACAGATAGATTGTTTCATTTTGCTATCAGAAATGAGATGTAAGTAAAAAAAAAACGATGAACTTTTTCGACTTACCTATACAGGTAATAATAATTGCGCTCCAGAAGCACAGAAGTAGTAATCGTATATTAAAGTGAAGTGTTTTATTGGAAATAATAGCTAATAGTGTAAGTAACGTTGTACAAATAGCCAAAATACTACTTAGAAATTCAACAATAAATACATTACGCATTCTTGAATTGTTCACATAAATTAATTTTATTATTTCACAAATTCCGGGTAACACTGATATATTAAACATTTTCCTGAAAAATGTGATAAGGTTTTTTTTTCAAATTAAATTAACTGTTGGATAGATCAATACAAAAAGCTGAGGATCAGTGATTATTTTGCTGTGATGGACTTTAAAATTTTCAGTGAAATTTACAATGATGAAATTTAAATAATTGAGTGATGCTTGGATGGCTCATACTTCACACGACTAGCATCAATTTTTAATAAAAAGCAAATGATGTGATAGTATGTTAGGGTAAATTTGAAAAAAAAGAAAAAGGAAGAATTTCAGACGTTCAACTCGACATTAATTTGAGTTTAATGCGAATAAACATCAAATGTTTGATGAATTTTGCTATAATGAACTTTTTCAGCTATTTTATGTTCTATTAAATCAGTTCATTAGTTTAGATTTTTGCTGATTGAAAAAATACATAGAAGTAAAACAATTATCTATTATTATAGCAGAGAAAATTGCACAAAAAAGTTCAATGTAAAAAAAGCAAAGCTATTTGAGTAAATTAGAAAATGAAAAATTGGCCGGTTGAGAAGATCAATTCAACGGAAAGTAATAAATAATAAAGTAAGAAAGAATGAAGTAAAAAATAACGTGATTTTATGAAAAGCACTTTCATTTGTGCCGCTTAGTTATTAAATTAATGAAATTACTTGGGGTTAGCAAAAAAAGAAATTTGATCTTTGCAGAACAAATCCAGAATTTTTTCCGAAAATCAGCCCACTTAACTCGATTCGATTTAGTTTTTGCGCAAATTTCATACGTTTTCCCCAGTAAAATATGATGACGTTATTCATTTAAAAACATAATAGCGCATTAAAGATTTAGTAAATTGTAATTGGATTCTAATTAATTTCATTCGCAGTGAATAATTGCTGAATATGAAATTAAACAACATGCGCAGCTGACAGAATAAATATCGAAAAACAAGAAATGAAAAAGGAGCATTTAAAAAAAGTATATATTTCAAATCATTAAAGTAGTAATGATTTTTATGGAGCAAGTTTAAAGAAAAAAAGGGGAAAAAATGAAATGGTAATGAAAAAGAGTATTTTTTGAAGTAATTTAAAAAAAAAGAGTTGTCAATTTGAAAATATAACACTGAATTATGTTTCATTACTTGATAGCAAAAGATTTTCAAAAATAATTCAAATAAATAACGAAAAATCTAAATTTGTCACATCATATTGATCCTCGTCACCATGGTAAAAAAAACTTTCATTCAGAAAGGCACTAATTGTATTCGTATATATAGCAAGTATGTTTGTGCGGGTATGTGTATGTGTGTGTCTGTCTGTCCGTGCATATATTTTCAATGAATAATTTGTATTCATGAGAATACGTAAGCACACAAAATCTTAAAATAATAAATAGAAAAGCCATTATGAATATTCAATAATATTTTTCATCACAATTGCATTCGTTACAAGGAAAGGGAAGAAATCGATTATTATTATTTAATTAAATGGAATTAATTTTATTTAAAGAAATGACATAAAAAAATCGAATTAATCAATCATGAATGATTTAGTTTTCTTTCCATTTTTGGTATTTGTCAGCAATTCAATCATTATTGTTAGCAATATGCATTTGTCAAATCTTTTCTAAATTTATCGTTAATTCATAATTTGCTTAATTCTTGACATCAATGTTAATTAATTATCTTTCAATCAAACGATTACATTCATTTCCTACAAAAATTCGCTATATGAAAGAGTAACTTAATGATCTTAAAAATTCCTTCTGCATTGATTTCTTCTCATAATCGAATTAATAATTATCAATCAAAAACCAAAAAAAAAACATGACTTTCTGATGGATTATTATTCACGTCTTTGATGATTTTTTAATTTGTTGAATTTTCCTTTGGAAAATAGGTCAACGATTATCACTGAGACGCGTTTATAACTTAGATTAATTTCACAACTAACTTTCATACAACAATGGGCAAACAATTTTAAATTCCATCTAACAATGATATCAATGCTTTTGCAATTATTAAAATTGTAAGGAAGTTTTCAAAGAGAATGCCGCAATTTACATGAAACCATTATGGCTTTTATTACTAATTAACAAAATGGTAATTTTCTCTTTAAAATATTTGGGAAATGATATGAAAATATGCAATAAAATGATGTTTAAAAGACAACGAAAGCATAAAAAATTGCAAATTAATTACAAATACTTTTTGAGCAGAGAGGAAATGGACAAAATTGAAAAATTAATTTGAGATCGCCGGCAAACACATTTCTTGTTCGAAGGAATACACTCTTACACCGTGTCATCTCCAGGAAATCTCGGTCAGCTTTCTCTCAGCCCATAATCCCTTACCGCCCTATTTTACCTAAATTTCACGTTCATTTGTCAGATCAAACTATAGCGTAATTTTCCGCTCCAAAGACATCGTCATACGTTTTAGGGAGCGGACAGTTTGCAATGAGAAAAACACCAAAAAGGGAACTAAAAAACTCAGTCGATTCCTTTTCATTCTTTATCGATTGGCAGCGACATTATTTCATTTCTTTAAGCCAAATAGCGCCGACATTCCCACACGCAATAAACCGCCGCAAAGTGCGCAGAGGGGAAGTAATTGAACGGTATTTGAAAAAAAAAGAGTAAAAATAGCAAAAATCTTGAGTTTTCAATGCGATATACTCTACGTTGCGAGGAAACGTATATGCGTGATAGGAATGGATGAGAATCGTACGAACGATTCGAAATGGAAAGATTTAACCGTCGTCATTAATTGCAGATCCAAAGTGAAACTGAAAGAAATAATTGTTCGGATAAATAACGAAAGTCGGAGTTATTATGCAAAGTTCAGATCGCTCACTTTTTTGGCAATATTTTGAGAATTGTGAGAGAAAGAAAACGAGTGAGAAAACACAATTTCATCAATTTCTTTTTGTAATAAAAATTGAAA